ACGTACACCTTGAAGCAGATGGGCTACAGCAGCAGGGGACCATATCGGGTGCAACTCCTATCATCCTATGAGCTAAGAACAGGAAACGGAGGCAACAATTTGCACAGGATCACCAGATTGGACAATAGAAGTTTGGAAAACCATTGCCTGGTCTGATGAGTCTCAATTTCAGCTGCAACGTTCAGATGGTGGGGTCAGAATTTGGTGTAAACAACATGAAAGCATGGATCCATCCTGCCTTGTATCAACGGTTCAGGCTGGTGGTGGTGTCATGGTGTGGTGGATCCATCCTGCCTTGTATCCATGGTTCAGGCTGGTGGTGGAGGTGTCATGGTGTGGTGGATCCACCCTGCCTTGTATCAACGGTTCAGGCTGGTGGTGGTGGTGTCATGGTGTGGTGGATCCATCCTGTCTTTTATCCATGGTTCAGGCTGGTGGTGGTGGTGTCATGGTGTGGTGGATCCATCCTGTCTTGTATCCATGGTTCAGGCTGGTGGTGGTGGTGTCATTGTGTGGTGCATCCATCCTGCCTTGTATCCATGGTTCAGGCTGGTGGTGGTGGTGGTGTCATGGTGTGGTGGATCCATCCTGTCTTGTATCCACGGTTCAGGCTGGTGGTGTCATGGTGTGGGGGAGATTTTCATGGCACACTTTTGGCCCCTTAGTACCAATTGAGTATTGTTTAAATGCCACAGCCTACCTGAGTATTGTTGCTGACCATGTCCATCCCTTTATAACTCCAGTGTCCCCATCTTCTGATGGCCCCTTCCAGCAGGATGATGTGCCATGTCACGAAGCTCAAATTATCTCACACCGGTCTTGAACATGACAATGAAATCACTGGACTCCAATGGCCTCCACAGTCACCAGATCTCCATCAAACAGAGCACTTTGGGATGATGGTGGAACCAGAGATTCCCATCATGGATGTGCAGCCAACAAATCTGCAGCAACTGCGTGAAGCTATCATCTCAATATGGAGCAAAATCTGAGGAATGTTTCCAATATCTTGTTGAATCTATTCCACGAAGAATGAAGGCAAAAGGGGGTCCAACCCGGGACTAGCAAGGTGGTCCTAATAAAGTGCCCGCTGAGTGTATATACTGTATATTTTAGATCACAAGCCCCCTCCTTTTGGATTTTGACAAGACTGAAAGCTTGTCATTCTGCACACGAGATTCCCCGATCCATGGCAACCAGCATCTAAGACGTACGTAGAAGACCCCCTTATATTTTAATGTGATATTACTTTATTTTCTGCTGAAGAGTAAAATTTTATGAAATATTGACCCAGAAGCACAGAAAATCCAGCCATCCCCCCTGTCTGAGTGCCTGTATTAGGACAGCTAGTCTAGATGCTGAGTTAAAGCTTTCTTGCAAAATTGTTTTTTTTTTTTTTTTTTTTTTTATCGCTTAAGAAAAGAAAAAAGGAAGCCGAAGAAGAAAACGCCGGGCTCAGCAAAATCTCGAAATTGTTCTATTAAGCTCAAACACGAAGATGTGAAACCATCTGGAACGTGTCAAAGTCAAAAGTGACACACAATGAGATTTTCTGGCCCACATGTGATAAATCTATCTATAAACTTGCTGGTGGGGGGAGGGGCTTGCAATTCACTCGGTTGAAAGTGATCCTGTAGCTTTATTAACAGGTGGAAAAAAACACGTCAACACGCTAGGCGCAGGAAGTGGTTTTTGCGTGCACGGGACGTACCGTATCTATGGATGTAACGCCCTCCTGGGCTGTTCCGTAAATCGAGTTGTGTAATCACAGGACCAAGGCTTGTTTCTTTTGGTCGACTCAGACTTCACAGGCTGGGAGTTTGATTGCTTCCCCCTAGAAGAAGCTTCTAAAAATTAGGGAGGGAGAATTCAAATAGCCGGCATGAATATTTAGAAGGGCCTAGCCAATCGCTGGAGGCGAAGGGGTGCTCAGATGATGGCTGGGTTTCTGCTAAATAGTACAACAAAATGGCCACTGGCTCAGTCTATAACTGACCTTCTCAGTAAGGAGCACACGGAAGGGTGATGCATGTTGAGCAGAGGGACCGTGCGGGCACTGCAGGATTTCAGTCCTTGTCGGCGTAGTGTGTTACCAATTGTTTTCTTGGTGACTGTGGTCCCAGCTGCCTGGAGATCATTGACAAGATCCTCACGTGTAGTTCTGGGATGATTCCTCACTGTTCTCATGATCGTTTGACAACTCGAACTTTCAGCTCCCTCCACAGATTTTCAATTGGATGAAGGTGTGGAGATTGGTTAGGCCAGTCCAGGACCTTATTGTGCTTCTTCTTGAGCCGCTCCTTTGTTGCCTTGGCCGTGTGTTTTGGGTCATTGTCATGCTGGAACACCCATTCACCACCCATTTTCAATGCCCTGGCTGAGGGAAGAAGGTTCTCACCCAAGATTTGATGGTACATTGCCCCGTCCATCATCCCTTTGATGCAGTGCAGTTGTCCTGTCCACTTAGCAGAAAAAAAAAACCCCAAAGCAGAATGTTTCCACCACCATGTTTCACAGTTGGGATGGTGTTCTTGGGGTCATAGGCAGCATTCCTCCTCCTCCAAACACGGCGAGTTGAGTTGATTCCAAAGAGCTGGATTTTGGTCTCATCTGACCACAACACTTCCCACCAGTCCTCCTCCATCATTCAGATGTTCAGTGGCAGACTTCAGACGGGCCTGGACATGTGCTTTCTTGAGCAGAGGGACCTTGCGGGCACTGCAGGATTTCAGTCCTTGTCGGCGTAGTGTGTTACCAATTGTTTTCTTGGTGACTGTGGTCCCAGCTGCCTGGAGATCATTGACAAGATCCTCACGTGTAGTTCTGGGATGATTCCTCACTGTTCTCATGATCATTGACACTCCACGAGGTGAGATCTTGCATGGTGCACCAGACCTAGGGAGACTGACACTTGTTTTGTGTTTCTTCCATTTGTGAATGATTGCACCAACTGTTGTCACCTTCTCACCAAGCTGCTTGGCTATAGTTTGGTAGCCCAGTCCAGCCTTGTGTAGGTCTACCATCTTGTCCCTGACATCCTTGGACAGCTCTTTGCTCTTTGCCATGGTGGAGAGTTTGGAATCTGATGGTTTGATGGCTCCTGTGGACAGGTGTCTTTTATACAGGTAACACAATGAGATTAGCAGCACTTCCTTTAAGAGACTGCTTCTAATCTCAGCTTGTTACCTGTATGAAAGACACCTGGGAGCCAGAAATCCTGCTGAATGATAGGGGATCCAATCCTTCTTTCCCTCATGAACATGCAGATCAGTCATCATTTGTTAGACGCATTTCTGCTGAATTTGTTGTTGTATTCTGTCTCTCAGTGTTACAATACACCGAACATTCGATTTTTAGACCGATCGTTTCTTTTGAATTTTTTGTTGCTCTTCTGTCTCTCAGTGTTACAATACACCAAACATTCGATGTTTAGACCGATCATTTCTGTGTGAGGGGCGAACATTCAACATCAGCAGGGGAGCAAATACTTATTTCCTTCACTGTAGTTCCTAAGTCTCCCATTTTAAGTGCCCCCATAGTAGAGGCGCATGCATTTAATGGATAGACCAAGGGCGGGGCCGTGACGAGGCTGTGTGGCTTACGCATGTATTTGCAAATGTGTGCCAACTAAACCCCTGTTTTTATATTTCAATTTTTTTATTAATTTATAAACCATTTAAGACAAGGGCAACAGAAAACGCCCACTCAGGGGCTATCAATTGTACATAAAAAATAAATAAAAAAAACAGTCCTCTAACACCAACAGAGCAAAAGGTGCGCCCACGCCCGGCTATCAATGGCACACAAATAACAAAACATTAGTATAACACCGACAGTAACTCAAACTAAAGACAGCTATCCACCGCCACACCAAAAAAACAAACAGAAATAAAAGGACTAGGGGGGGGGGGGGGGGGGGGGGGAGCGTGGGAAGGGCATATTGCAACCAAGGCTCCCATATTTCCAAGAATTTCCATTGGGAGTCGTTACAGATACTCGACATCTGTTCATTGAGCGTCATGGTGGTCATACGGTCCCCCTGAAGAGGGACAAACGGGCGCTTCCAGGCCTGAGCAATTGTTCTAGTGGCCAGCAAAAACAAATAGGAAGCCAACTTCTGCTGGTGAGCCAAGAGGCCCGGTATGGGACAATGCCCAAATTCTGACATGTTCAGATTTCTGGGAAAATCAGCGAGCCAATCCCACAAGCAGGAAATGACATTTCTGGGGGGAGCTCTGTATACCATCTATGTACAGAACGCCTCCAGGCGGCCATATTGTATTTTACAGAAAATAACAGCGGCTGCACTGAAAAGGAAAGTCGTTTTTTTTTTTATACCGTTTAATTATGATATGACTTGTGTAGCAATTTTTTTGTATTTGCTTTTTTTTTTACCAATGAAAGTAGAGTTTTCCTTTTTAAGCTTTCAAAAAAAAAAAAAAAAAAAAAGATTTGAACATTCAATTAAAGTTCATGTCCACATCTAGTATTTTTAGGACGACCTGCATGTCATGAAATACCTTTCAGGGGGAGTCGCTGAATATTTTACCGGATCGGTTTTGTGTTAACAGATTTTCCAGCTGTAATCGTGAGGTCCGCCTCGCTGGAATCAAATTCCCGGCTGCGTGCCGCTAATCCCTTTATAGGATGGTGTCATCTTAGCTCCGGGATTAATGTGTCCGGCACATATAATCCCTTCTCATTGCCTTCCTATGACAATCCGATTATCCCTCTCCTGACCCCGGGATCTCCGATTCAGAATTCTCCGAAGACGCTCCGTTCTCCGTCCGGGGAAAGCTGCCGACCAGCTGCAATCCATACGGATGAAAGACAAGTAATGAGCCAAATTGCAAATTGTAAGCAAAATGTATCAGCTTCTGAAAAAGCAGATGGCGGAGGTAACATCCGTGCAAGACGCTAACTACAGACTGAAATATATATTTATATATATACACTAGATTGCCAAAAGTATTGGGCCAGCCCTCCAAATCATGTGATTCAGGTGTTCCAATCCCTCCACATCATGTGATTCAGGTGTTCCAATCCCCTCCACATCATGTGATTCAGGTGTTCCAATCCCCTCCATATCATTGATTCAGGTGTTCCAATCCCCTCCATCTCATGTGATTCAGGTGTTCCAATCCCCCTCCATCTCATTGTGATTCAGGTGTTCCAATCCCTCCATATCATTGATTCAGGTGTTCCAATCCCTCCAAATCATGTGATTCAGGTGTTCCAATCCCCTCCAAATCATGTGATTCAGGTGTTCCAATCCCCTCCAATCATATCATGTGATTCAGGTGTTCCAATCCCCTCCAAATCATGAGATTCAGGTGTTCCAATTCCCTCAGTGATTCAGGTGTTCCAATCCCCTCCAAGTCATGTGATTCAGGTGTTCCAATCCCCTCCATGTCATGTGATTCAGGTGTTCCAATCCCCTCCATATCATGTGATTCAGGTGTTCCAATCCCCTCCAAATCATGTGATTCAGGTGTTCCAATCCCCTCCATATCATGTGATTCAGGTGTTCCAATCCCCTCCATATCATGTGATTCAGGTGTTCCAATCCCCTCCAAATCATTGATTCAGGTGTTTCCAATCCCCTCCATATCATGTGATTCAGGTGTTCCAATCCCCTCCATATCATGTGATTCAGGTGTTCCAATCCCCTCCATATCATGTGATTCAGGTGTTCCAATCCCCTCCATATCATGTGATTCAGGGTGTTCCAATCCCCTCATTGGATTCAGTGTTATCATGTGATTCAGGTGTTCCAATCCCCTCCAAATCATGTGATTCAGGTGTTCCAATCCCCTCCATATCATGTGATTCAGGTGTTCCAATCCCCTCCATATCATGTGATTCAGGTGTTCCAATCCCCTCCATATCATGTGATTCAGGTGTTCCAATCCCCTCCAAATCATTGGATTCAGGTGTTCCAATCCCCTCCATATCATGTGATTCAGGTGTTCCAATCCCCTCCATATCATGTGATTCAGGTGTTCCAATCCCCTCCATATCATGTGATTCAGGTGTTCCAATCCCCCTCCAATCATGTGATTCAGGTGTTCCAATCCCCTCCATATCATGTGATTCAGGTGTTCCAATCCCCTCCATATCATGTGATTCAGGTGTTCCAATCCCCTCCATATCATGTGATTCAGGTGTTCCAATCCCCTCCAATCATGGGATTCAGGTGTTCCAATCCCCTCCATATCATGTGATTCAGGTGTTCCAATCCCCTCCAAATCATGGATTCAGGTGTTCCAATCCCCTCCATATCATGTGATTCAGGTGTTCCAATCCCCTCCATATCATGTGATTCAGGTGTTCCAATCCCTCCATATCATGTGATTCAGGTGTTCCAATCCCCTCCATATCATGTGATTCAGGTGTTCCAATCCCCTCCAAATCATGGATTCAGGTGTTCCAATCCCTTCCATATCATGTGATTCAGGTGTTCCAATCCCCTCCATATCATGTGATTCAGGTGTTCCAATCCCCTCCAAATCATTAGATTCAGGTATGTTCCAATCCCTCCATATCATGTGATTCAGGTGTTCCAATCACCTCCAAATCATTGGATTCAGGTGTTCCAATCCCCTCCATATCATGTGATTCAGGTGTTCCAATCCCCTCCATATCTTGTGATTCAGGTGTTCCAATCTCCTCCAAATCATTGGATTCAGGTGTTCCAATCCCCTCCATATCATCTGATTCAGGTGTTCCAATCCCCACCAAATCAATGGATTCAGGTGTTCAAATCCCCTCCATATCATGTGATTCAGGTGTTCCAATCCCCTCCAAATCATTATATTCAGGTGTTCCAATCCCCTCCATATCATGTGATTCAGGTGTTCCAATCCCCTCCATATCATGTGATTCAGGTGTTCCAATCCCCTCCAAATCATTATATTCAGGTGTTCTAATCCCCTCCATGTCATGTGATTCAGGTGTTCCAATCCCCTCCATATCAATGGCACTTAAAGGAAAAAGCTGGGGTGGAGCTGGGGAGCATAAAGTGCTGGGTCTGGAGGAGGACCAGAGGAGAGCTGGAGTCAGCTGCCAGAGTCTGCTGAAAGCTTAGACCAGGGGGGGTGATGACGAGGGGGTGCTGCAGCTGCACAGAGATGCTGGACCTGTAGGAAGAGTTATGTCCTTCTCTATTCTCTATGCTGCCATCTAGTGAGGGGGGAGTAGGGTAGTGACGAGCCTCTATGGCTGCACAGAGAAGCACAGGATCTGATGGAGGAGTTATGTGCTCTCTGCTGCTGACTGCAGAGACGAGGAGGAGGTGCTGCGACTGCACAGAGAGGTGCCGGACCTGTAGGAAGAGTTCTGTCCTCCTTCCTGCTGCTGACTGATGAGACAGTGGGGGGGAAGGGGGGGGCAGTGAAAGCCTCTATGGCTGCACAGAGAAGCAGGATCTGATGGAGCTGGAGTCAGCTGCCAGAGTCTCTGCTGCTTAGACTGCAGAGACGAGGAGATGCTGCGAGCTGCACAGAGAGGTGCCGGACCTGTAGGAAGAGTTCTGTTCTCCTCTATGCTGCCAACTGGTGAGGGGGGAGGGGGGAGGGTAGTGACGAACCTCTATGGCTGCACAGAGAAGCACAGGATCTGATGGAGGAGTTCTTTCCTCTCTGCTGACAACTGCAGAGACAAGGTGGGGGCAGAGACGAGGAGGTACTGCGACTGCACAGAGAGGTGCTGGACCTGTAGGAAGAGTTCTGTCCTCCTCTATGCTGCCAACTGGTGGGGGAGGGTAGTGACAAGCCTCTATGGCTGCACAGAAAAGCACAGGATCTCATGGAGAAGTTCTGTGCTCTCTGCTGCTGACTGCAGAGACGAGGAGGTGCTGCGACTGCACAGAGAGGTGCCGGACCTGTAGGAAGAATGCTGTCCTCCTTCCTGCTGCTGACTGATGAGACAATGCAGGGAAGGGGAGGGCAGTGATGAGCCTCTATGGCTGCACAGAGAAGCACAGGATCTGATGGAGGAGTTCTTTCCTCTCTGCTGCTGACTGCAGAGACGAGGAGGTGCTGCGACTGCACAGAGAGGTGCCGGACCTGTAGGAAGAGTTCTGTTCTCCTCTATGCTGCCAACTGGTGAGGGGGGAGGAGGAGGGTAGTGACAAACCTCTATGGCTGCACAGAAAAGCACAGGATCTGATGGAGAAGTTCTGTGCTCTGCTGCTGACTGCAGAGACGAGGAGGTGCTGCGACTGCACAGAGAGGTGCTGGACCTGTAGGAAGAATGCTGTCCTCCTTCCTGCTGCTGACTGATGAGACAATGCGGGGAAGGGGAGGGCAGTGATGAGCCTCTATGGCTGCACAGAGAAGCACAGGATCTGATGGAGGAGTTCTTTCCTCTCTGCTGCCGATTGCAGAGCCAAGGTGGGAGCAGAGACGAGGAGGTGCTGCAACTGCACGGAGAGGTGCCGGACCTGTAGGAAGAGTTCTGTCCTCCTTCCTGCCGCCGACTGCAGACTCGGGTGGGGGTGGCAGAGATGAGCCTCTCTGCGGCTGAACTGAGAAACGCAGGATCTGGCCTAGGAGTTCTGTCCTCCTCTCTGATGCCGACTGCTGAGACCAGGTGGGGGCAAAGACGAGGGGCGTTCAGCAGCTACAGGAGAGGTGCGATGGCTGGTGGTCCGGATTGTGTTTGACACATATGTTCTACAACATTACAGAACAAGTCCTGTTGAACATAACTAACAAATGAGAAATCCAAAATTTTACATTTCAAATTTCCATTGAAAGGACTGGTATCTCTTCTTCCGTTTTAACATTTGTTCTCGGTAAGTAAGAGGCTGACTCACGTTGTGTTGTATTTCCCCTCCGGCTTTTATTTATCAGAGATACACAATGTACGAACCATAAGAGAGCCTTTTAGAATGCGAGAAGAGCGTCTCCTGAGTCTGATACCTTATAAAAAGGTCGAATCAACAAGACAACAATCTGGCAGGTTGGTAGACGTCGGCACGTAGTTTCGCAGCGATCCTCAATTGTTCCTGAAACTATAAATAAATCGTCCCAGTGACCCGAGGACATCCTGAGATTAGAGAGAGAGAGTTCTAAACTTTACTGATCCGCCATAAAGTACGGCTTCGCTTTCTTAACAAGCATCCAGATTTTACCGGTTTTCCTAAAGTTCCAAAAACTCTTTTCCATTTAAAGAAACGGGTGAATACTATAGATGATCAATTTAATTTGCACCATTGATTCATATTTCAAGCACTGGTTGCATCTGAACGCCTGACACAACATAAACACAAAGAAATATGAAAAACTATTATAGGAATTATAAATGTAAACCTTTTATTATTAAGCCTGTAGAATCATAATAATTTAAGAATGAATATTTCCATTCCTTAACCTTTGCTAAATGAGTCTAACAAATCACCATTATTTAAGGCTGAATATTTGGATTCTTGTATTAGCCAAGTGTCAAGGTCAGGGGTCAGGCTCGGAGACCAGTAGCTATAGCAGTGGAGAGGCTGCCACCAACCAACAGGATAGCTATGTAAGCAAATCACTATGTCGGATGGCATGGGCGCAGCCAAGGTGCAGGGCCTAAGAACTAATCGGTATTCACCAGAGCTTCTGATGGTGGGGATGGGTTTTGCTGCGTGTTAGTACCAGGTCGCGGTCCTCGGGATCCCTCCTCCAGTAGCAGGTAGGGGTCAAGCAGAGGTGTAGTCAGTAAACAAGCCAATAGTCGGCAACAAGTGGTTGCAGGTTGGAATAAAGCAGAAACGTAGTCAAGGAACAAGCCAAAGGTTGATAACAAGTGGTTGCAGGTTGGGATCAAGCAGAAGCATAGTCAAGGAACAAGCCAAAGTTCGGTAACAAGTGGTTGCAGGTAGGGATCAAGCAGAAACGTAGTCAAGGAACAAGCCAAAGGTTGATAACAAGTGGTTGCAGGTAGGGATCAAGCAGAAACGTAGTCAAGGAACAAGCCAAAGGTTGATAACAAGTGGTTGCAGGTTGGATCAAGCAGAAACGTAGTCAAGGAACAAGCCAAAGGTTGATAACAAGTGGTTGCAGGTTGGAATCAAGCAGAAGCATAGTCAAGGAACAAGCCAAAGTTCGGTAACAAGTGGTTGCAGGTAGGGATCAAGCAGAAACGTAGTCAAGGAACAAGCCAAAGGTTGATAACAAGTGGTTGCAGGTTGGAATAAAGCAGAAACGTAGTCAAGGAACAAGCCAAAGTTCGGTAACAAGTGGTTGCAGGTAGGGATCAAGCAGAAGCATAGTCAAGGAACAAGCCAATAGTTGGTAACAAGCGGTTACAGGTTGGGATCCAGCCAAAGTTCAGTAGCAAGTGGCTGAGGGTTGAGGTCAAGCAGTAGAATAGTCAAGGAACAAGCCAAAGGTCGATAACAAGTGGTTGCAGGTTGCAACCAAGCAGAAGCGTAGTCAAGGTACAACCCAAAGGTTGGTAGTAAGTGGTTGCAGATTGAGATCAAGCAGAGGCATAGTCAAGGTGCAAGCTTAAGGTTGGAAAAAAGTGGTTGCAGGTTAGGATCAAGCAGAAGCGTAGTCAAGGTACAACCCAAAGGTTGGTAGCAAGTGGTTGCAGGTTGAGATGAAGCAGAGGCATAGTCAAGGTGCAAGCCAAAGTTCGGTAACAAGTGGTTGCAGGTTGAGATTAAGCAGAAACATAATCAGGTAACAAGCCAAAGATCGGTAATAAGTGATAGCAAAGATACGGACAGTGCAAGAGTGACACGAGCAAGGCTGGAGAAAACACAGTAATCTGACAAACAGGAAGTGCCAAGACATGGCTTAAATAGGAAGTTCATGGGAGGATCAAAGGGTTCAAGAGTAACAAGACACAAGGAAAAGTTGTCTAAGCAATCAGACTGTACAGCATCTCAGGTGGCTCAGCAAAAAGATACTGCCAGACAAGCTGGAGATTCAGATATGGGACCTGCCAGGTGTGCTGGGTTCTTTTTAAAGTCCAACCTGGACAATCTCTCTATTACCTTTAAATAGGCCCCCAGAATGTTTAAAAGATAACAAAGTAGCTAAGGTTGCAATACGCAACTTTAATCCAGAACTGCCCCTGCAATACCTCTATTGTATATGCCTGCAAGATGCCTTCAGCCCAGTTTTCTGGGCTGAATGATGCTCAGCGTCACTCAAGACTCAGGAGATAATATGAATAAAGGGTGTCATGGCCATGTTTCCTTACGAGAGCTCCACCATGATGCCCTTTCTTTACATTATAGTAATTGCACTAAGTAGCTCCGGTGTCATCACATCATCAGTTTCTGCATCTGAAGGACCATCTACTGCCAGAAGACTGAAGAGGAAGATGCCCCGGCATGACTAGACTGAAGACTTCAGAAAAAGATAAGTATATTAATATAAAAACACCATAACATACTGTCAGGAGGAAATTCGGGGGATAATGATCCTGCTGGAAGGGGCTGAGCCTGAGATGGGCTTTAAGTGATTCAGTCATGAACATAAAAATAGCAATAGAAGAATTCCATGCAAAGAAGAAAGTAAATACCTCTCCTGCTGCCCAGCTGCCAAACAGCACTGAAATGAAGGAGAATCATTGCGTGAAGTCTCTTCAGAAACCAGCATTTCCTTGGGAGTTTCAATCTCCTGGTCACCCCGCTCTCAGTAAGTCTTACCAATCCCCTCTACAGGAGGCAGTGGTGGGGGAAGGTACATGTTGGAATCTGGACATGTATGGCTTCCCTAAGGGGCAGTCCTAAACTTCACCTAGCACCAGAAGATCTTATTGGATGTTATTGGTGGTCATCGGCAGTGCACAAGTGGAAAACCCTCTCAATCAGAAAAGCGAAGGAAGAGTGTTCTTCTGCATTGCTGCTGATCGAATTTGAAATATAGAGTGTGATATCTAGTAGTAGTTACAATCAACTAGACTTGTTCTGTATGTCGAAGACATTTCATAGCTTACCAAGCCACGTCTTCAGTTTGTAGAGTGGCAGTAAGATTCCCCAACATTTACAATCACCAGCCACTTTATTAGGTTCACCTGTTGAATTGCTTGGTAATACAAATTTTTAATCATCCAATCACATGGCAGCAATTCAATGCATTTAGGCATCTGGACGTGGTGAAGCTTACTTGCTGAAGTTCAAACCGAGCATCAGAATGGGGAAGAAAGATTTAAGTGACTTTGAACGTTGCATGGTTGTTGGTGATCTACTGGGACTTTCACGCACAACCATCTCTAGGGTTTACAGAGAATGGACCAAAAAAAAGAGAAATTATCCAGTGAGCGGCAGTTGTGTGGAGGAAAATGCCTTGTTGATGTCAGAGGAGAACGGGCAGACTGGTTCTAGATGATAGAAAGGCAACAGGAACTCATGTCAATATGGACCAAAATCTCTGAGGAATGTTTCCAACACCTTGTTGAATCTATGCCACGAAGAATGAAGGCAGTTCTGAAGGCAAAAGGGGATCCAACCCGATACTAGCAAGGTGTACCTAATAAATTGACCAGTGAGTGTATATCCACACCACCTTAATCCAATCATCATGGACTATGTTAATGTTGATTGTCCAAGAGCAAGATGGGAAACTCTTGGAAACTGAAGAAGTGGCTTGGTAAGCTACAAAATGTTTTCAACAGTACAGAACAAGTCCAGTTGAATCTGACTAACTACTGCTAGATATACCACAACCAGGGCGGACTGACAACTCATGGGGCCCCCGGGCAATAGGGGATCATGGGGCCCCTGTGTCATTGCCCAAACTCAATAAAGCCTATGAAAAAGGTACCAGGGGCATCTCATGGGGCCTCCTACTGACCCCAGGCCCTCGAGCAGTGCCCGAGTTTCCAAATGGTCAGTCCACCCCTGACCACAACCTGGATAAATGAGAACCTTCACAGACGTAGAATGTGATATCTAGTAGTAGTTGCATTCAACTAGACTTGTCCTGTATGTTGAAGACATTTCATAGCTTCTTCAGTTCCTAGAGTGTCAGGAAGATGCCCCAACATTTATATCCACATCATAGGACACCTTAATCCAATCATCATGGACTATGTCAGGGGTCTGCAACTTTGTAAGACAAAAGAGCCACTTGGACCCTTTCCGAAGGGAAAAAAAAACTGGGAGCCGCAAAACCATTGCAACTTGGTAAAACAAATCCGACACTGCATATAGTTTCTTACCTTAATGCTATATACAGGATCGTGCAGTTAGCTTCATCCCCCATATAGTAATTCATCCCCCATAGTAATTCATCCCCCTAATTCATCCCCCATATAGTAATTCATATAAGTAATTCATCCCCCATATAGTAAGTTCATATATAGTAGTATATAGTAATTCATCCCCCGGACTTCATCTAGTAATTCATTGAAGATTCATCCCCCATAGTTTTTAGTAGCTTATATTCCCCCCAAGCTACTTCATTCATAGTTCCCCCCTATTAATTCAGGATAGTAATTCATCCCCCAATTCATCCCCCATAGTAATCATCCCCATCATAGGATTCATCCCCCATAGTAATTCATCCCCCCTATAGATTCATCCCCCCTATAAGTAATTCACTCCCCCCTATAGTAATTCATCCCCCATAGTAATTCATCCCCCCTATAGTAATTCATCCTCCATAGTAATTCATCCCCCATATTATTCATCCCCCCTATAAAGTCCCCCCTGTGTCAATTCACTTACCTTTGCTCCGCGCGTTCCTCTCGCTGTGATCTGCCATTCCGGTGTAGCATAGAAAATCTGTCTCCTATAAATATCTGTCCCCCTCGGTATCTGCGCATGTGAACCAGTTTCAGGCATTAGCAGCCGATCTGCGATCTCCGGCACATGCGCAGATACGTCGAGGGGGACAGATCCTCATAGGTGACAGATTTTCATGCTACACCGGTCTTCAGGGCGGACTGTTGAGAGGAGCCTAACGGGAGCCTAGCTCCGCGGGCCGGATTAAAAGGTCCGCCGGGCCGTAGTTTGCCCATTGCTGTTCTAGAGTGTCAGAAGATACCCTAATATTTATATCCACAACGTTGAACACCTTACTCCAATCTTTATTGAGTATGTCAAAGTTGATTGTCTAAGAGCCAGATGGGAAACTAACGTGAAGATGACTTGCTGAAGTTCAAACCGAGCATCAGAATGGGGAAGAAAGGGGATTTAAGTGACTTTGAACGTGGCATGGTTGTTGGGGGCCAGACGGGCTGGTATTAGTATTTCAAAAACTGCTGATCTACTGGGATTTTCACGCACAACCATCTCTAGGGTTTACAGAGAATGGTCTGAAAAAGAGAAAATATTCAGTGAGTTGTGTGGGGGAAAATTGCCTTGTTGATGTCAGAGGAGAATGGGCAGACTGTTGGAGATGATAGAAAGGCAACAGTAACTCATGTCAATATGGACTAAAATCTCTGAGGAATGTTTCCAACACCTTGTTAAATCTATGCCATGAAGAATGAAATGAAGGCAAAAGGGGGTCCAACCGGTACTAGAAAGTTGTAACTAAAGATCGGGAGGTGAGTGTAAATTATTATATATGGACATATTCCCTATAGGCGATAGTGATTTCTTACATATCTATGGCCCAAGTGCCTAGAGACATGGGATCAATCTTGGTAACAGCCAGCTATAGTTACAGTAGATCAGCAAACAATGTCTCATCTGTGGTGGGTTGAGTTTCCATGGCTGACTGATGCTCTTTACTTGTCTCTAAGTATCTTTGGCCTTTAAATGGTGTAGTTGCCAGAATTATTAACTACGACAAGCGGAGACTCTAAAACAATGCCAAATTTTTCTTTTAAAACTTTTTCCACTTCATCATTTTGTAGAGTTTTAAGTTCCACCAGATCCACACTCTTTCGATAGTTGTATTTGGTTTCCGTGTATGTCCAGCCAACTAGTGTTCGGACACCGTTACTAACCTGGAGAGAGCACACGGATTTGTTGAAAAAGGCTGATTTTGGAGATGTTTGGTGGAACTTGCAGGATTCAAGAAAGTAGTCTATAGTCTTCTCCTGTAGAGTGAAGCAGTGGATCTTCCTATAACTCGCTTTATCAAGCAGTTCCGTTTCTGAAAACGAGCTATTGGAAACCATCTGGGTTCTCCTTATCTTGTCCAAGAACCACATTCCCTTGATTTCCATTAGGCGAAATATGCCGGGAATTTGCGGCTGGTCCATCCCACTCTTTAACTCTAAAGGTTGACAAAATTGAAGGGAAGATCCAAAGCCAACGTCAACGATGTACGTCTTGCTATCTAGTGTCACCTTGAGTAGAAGATGAGTTGCGAGTGGGTTGTAATTGTCCAGATGGGGCTGGTAAACATGAGTGGCCAGCATGACCACATCGAAGCCGATGGTCTTCAGAGCCCAGAAGAGGAGGTGGTTTTGTTCGGAACACCAACCACCTCTTTGCTTCATCACAATCTTTTGAAAAATGCTTTCTATGTCGAGAGAGATGGGTTCTCTGCAATGAACGCTGAGGTTTTCAAATGGTATCGCCATGATGTGGTGATGCATTATCTCACAAAGCGTTTCCCTGTTGGCCGGTTTACAGGAAGCCTTGTATCCCAGCCTGGAGAAGTATTTGTTGATGTCCATTCTTGTGCCCTGAAACACACACAAAAATTACTCCTTACCGGTTGTTTTGTTTGAATATTTATATCATGACTGATGGCCATGAGAGGACGACATCAAATCACTTCACTTGGGCTAACGGTAGACAATACACACAATTCAATCGGTTTTATTTTTCTTTAGTGCTTCTAGGTGGGTTCTGGGGCTTTGCAAACTCCCCCTAGAAAAATGTAAGAGGGAGAACAAAATGGGGTTGATTTACTAAACGTTTATGTGGGGACACTGATGTAATGGGAACTCCAATGGGGACCCTTATGTAAAGGAGGATTCTGATGGGGATCCTAATGTAAGGGGAAGCTATGAAGGAATCCCTGATGTAAGGGGGGATTCTGATGGGGATCCTAATGTTAGGGGGGGCTATGATAGAGACCCTGATGTAAGGTGGATTCTGATGGGGATCCTGATGTAAGGGGGGCTATGATGGAGACGCTAATGTAAGGGGGGATTCTGATGGGGATCCTAATGTAAGGGGGGCTATGATGGAGATGCTGATGGAAGGGAGGATTCTGATGGGGATCCTAATGTAAGGGGGGCTATGATGGAGACCCTGATGTAAGATGGATTCTGATGGGGATCCTAATGTAAGGGGGGCTATGATGGAGAACCTGATGTAAGGGGGGATTCTGATGGGGATCCTAATGTAAGGGGGGGCTATGATGGAGACCCTGATGTAAGGGGGATTCTGATAGGATCCTAATGTAAGGGGGGGCTATGATGGAGAACCTGATGTAAGATGGATTCTGGTGATCCTGATTAAAGAGTGATTCTGATGGGGATCCGAATGTAAGGGGGGCTCTGGGGGATCCTAAAGTAAGGGGGGCCATGATGGAGACCCTGATGTAAGGGGGGATTCTGATGGGGATCCTAATGTAAGGGGGGCTATGATGGAGACCCTGATGTAAGATGGATTCTGATGGGTGATCCTGATGTAAAGAGTGATTCTGATGGGGATCCTGATGTAAGGGGGGCTCTGATGGGGATCCTAATGTAAGGGGGGCTAGGGGGACCCTGATGTAATGGAGACCCTGATGTAAGGGGGACTCTGATGGGATCCTAATGTAAGGGGGTCCACAATAGAGCTATGTAATGGAGACCCTGATGTAAGGTGGATGCCTGATGGGGATCCTGATGTAAGCGGGTGACTCTGATGGGGATCCTGATGCATGTGCAGACTCTAAGGGGGCCTCTGATGGGGGCTATGAGTTTTATTAATAAAATTGTTTGTTTTTTTGGGGGCTAGGCCCTTTGGAGACCCTGATGTAATGGAGACCCTGATGTAAGGGGGAGAGAGGAGGAAGGAGGGAGGAGAGAGGAGGAAGGAGGGAGGAGGGATGTAAGGGGGTCCACGATAGAGGCCTGATGTAAGGGGAAACTCTGATGTAAAGAGGAGGAGGGATTAGGACCCTGATGAGGAAGCAGAGACTCTGGTGGGGACCCTGAGGCATGTGCAGACTCTAGGAGAGGGCCTCTGATAGGGGGAGGATGGGGGCTATGAGGAGAGAGATTTAGGAGAAATTGGAGAGAGGAGGAGAGAGGGGGGGAGAGAGGATAAATGATACTCTGTGGAGAGAGGGAGGGAGAGCCCCGAGCTGGAGGGAGGAGGAGAGAGAGAGGGGAGTGAGGGGGAGGGGGAGAGGGAGGGAGGGGAGAGAGGGAGGAGAGGGGAGAGAGGAGAGGGAGGAGGGGAGGGAGGGAGAGAGGAGGGAGGGGGGAGGGAGGAGGGAGGGAGGAGGGGAGGAGGAGAGGAGAGGGGAGGAGGGAGGGAGGAGAGGAGGAGAGGAGAGGAGGAGAGAGAGAGGGGAGAGGGGAGAGGGGAGAGGAGAGAGAGGAGAGAGGAGAGGGGAGGAGGGAGGAGAGGGGAGGAGGGAGGAGGGAGGAGAGAGGAGAGGGGAGGAGGGAGGAGGAGAGGAGAGGGGGAGAGGGGAGGAGGGAGGAGAGGGGGAGGAGAGGGGAGGAGGGAGGAGAGAGGAGAGAGGGGAGGAGGGAGGAGAGGGGAGGGAGGAGGGAGGAGGGAGGAGAGAGAGAGGGGAGAGGGAGGGAGAGAGAGAGGAGAGGGAGGAGAGAGGGGAGGAGGGAGGTTTGGGGGTACATTTGGGTAACACACACACATTAGGGGCTCCCAGAAGTCGGGGTGCACATCATGTGATCTCATTGGGGGGTCACTTTCAAATATTCCTCAATAAAGCGATCGCGCTGAAAAGACTTCTCGCCGTTTCTTTCTACTTCAATATTGAATTTTCGCACAGAACTGCAATAAGTCTATGAGTCGAACGTTTCCCCGAGGAGTCTCGTTTTTTTTGATCCCGTCTATTGTGATTCATGAAGCAGTCCAGAAAGTTTTTTAATATCCTGTGCGCTCGGCGCTCGGCGAGATGATGTCATCGGCAGGATGGAGTTGCTAAGTCACGGCGGTAAGGCCGATGGAAAGATAAAGTTGGAGAATGACTTCACCCGTCCAGGATAATCGATTGGCTGGAAGTAATAAAGTGCGTCTTGGAAGGTAGCAGCAGATGTATTACTATCGTGTCATCGCCGAGCCGATGGAGCCAATCGCTGCCAATCTGAGGATTTATTAACAGTGTAGCCAGTTATTGCTCCCGCAGATACTTTACCTGGTAAAATGGAATTTCAGCAAAGTAGCTAAACAGCTGAAATATATGTTCGGTATAGTAGTAACTCTGTTCCAGCCAGTCTTGTGGTCCAGGTATGCCTGGCAGACAACACAGACAGGTCCTGTGATCCAGGTATGCCTGGCAGACAATGCAGACAGGTCCTGTGATCCCAGGTATGCCTGGCAGACAACGCAGACAGGTCCTGTGATCCCAGGTATGCCTGGCAGACAACGCAGACAGGTCCTGTGATCCCAGGTATGCCTGGCAGACAACGCAGACAGGTCCTGTGATCCTAGGTATGCCTGGCAGACAACGCAGACAGGTCCTGTGGTCCCAGGTATGCCTGGCAGACAACGCAGACAGGTCCTGTGATCCAGGTATGCCTGGCAGACAACGCAGACAGGTCCTGTGATCCCAGGTATGCCTGGCAGAAAACGCAGACAGGTCCTGTGATCCCAGGTATGCCTGGCAGAAAACGCAGACAGGTCCTGTGATCCAGGTATGCCTGGCAGACAACGCAGACAGGTCCTGTGATCCCAGGTATGCCTGGCAGACAACGCAGACAGGTCCTGTGATCCCAGGTATGCCTGGCAGACAACGCAGACAGGTCCTGTGATCCCAGGTATGCCTGGCAGACAACGCAGACAGGTCCTGTGATCCCAGGTATGCCTGGCAGACAACGCAGACAGGTCCTGTGATCCCAGGTATGCCTGGCAGACAACGCAGACAGGTCCTGTGATCCCAGGTATGCCTGGCAGACAACGCAGACAGGTCCTGTGGATCCCAGGTATGCCTGGCAGACAACGCAGACAGGTCCTGTGATCCAGGTATGCCTGGCAGACAATGCAGACAGGTCCTGTGATTCCAAATAGCATCACAACTAAGAATTGGTTAGCTGCGATATAATAAATGTTTGCTTTTGGGTTTAATTCACTCTAAATTGTTTAACATCTTGTTTTTCACCATTATATACAAATGTATTTTATATTACTATATATATATATATACACAGTATATATATAATTTTTTTTTTATAGTTGTTATATACAACTATATATATATAATTTTATCCAAAAATATTTTTACCAATAACCAGTATAAAGCAGGGGGTTCCATCACGCCGATGTCAGGGGGAATTCCGGGTTTATTGCAGATAACCTGTTTTCACGTGGCAGCTTTTCTTATTACAGCACCGGGGACATTTTGTTTTCTGGCCTTTGTGGCGGGGGGGGGGGGGGTGGGTGGGGGGTGCGCATCCAAAATACCGCTGGGAATATTTACCGCGATCCTCGCCTGCAAGAGATTAACCCCTTCACCTCTCACACCTGTATATCCCGTATTTACCAGATCAATTTTATTCTCTGTTTGGGCCTTTTGTTTCAGCAAATCTTTGACGTTATTTAACAAAACAAAGTAATAGATATATATGGGGGGGGGGGGGGGGGGGTTTTAGGACAAACACTTTTTTGCTGTGATAAAATCTTCCTTTTTTCATGTCATCCCGCATGGAAAAGAAATATATTTAGAAAAAGAAATTATATATGTGACATATATTTACAATGTATTGGCCTACGCTAATATATTTTAACACGTATTCTAAAAAAACATGTAAATATAAATATATTTCCCAAAGGCAGAGATTTAAAAACACATTTTTAAAAAAAAATATTCTTTAGATTGTTTTCTAACATATAAAAAAGTCATTTTCACCCCCTTCCAGTCCGGACACTTTCCCCCCCCTTCCAGTCCGGACACTTCCCCCCCCCTTCCATTTCCGGACACTTCCCCCCCCCCCTTCCAGTCCGGAATCTTTCCCCCCCCTTCCAGTCCGGACACTTTCACCCCCTTCCAGTCCGGACACTTCCCCCCCCCCCCTTCCAGTCCGGACACTTTCCCCCCTTTCAGTCCGGACACTTTCCCCCCCTTCCAGTCCGGACACTTTCTCCCCCTTCCATTCCGGACACTTCCCCCCCCTTCCAGTCCGGACACTTTCCCCCCCCTTCCAGTCCGGACACTTTCACCCCCTTCCAGTCCGGACACTTTCACCCCCCTTCCAGTCCGGACACTTTCCCCCCTTCCAGTCCGGACACTTTCCCCCCTTCCAGTCCGGACACTTTCACCCCCTTCCTGTCCGGACACTTTCACCCCCTTCCTGTCCGGACACTTTCCCCCCCTTCCAGTCCGGACACTTTCCCCCCCTTCCAGTCCGGACACTTTCCCCCCCCCCCCCCTTCCAGTCCGGACACTTTCCCCCCCTTTCAGTCCGGACACTTTCCCCCCCTTCCAGTCCGGACACTTTCCCCTCCTTCCAGTCCGGACACTTTCCCCTCCTTCCAGTCCGGACACTTTCAC